TATTTCTGATACAGGCCAGGATGCCATTGGCCTTCTTGGCCGCCTGGGCACACTGCCGGCTCATGTTCAGCTGGCTGTCGACCAGCACCCCCAGGTCCTTTTCTGCTGGGCAGAAATATAATAATATATTATATAATAATAAAATCCCATAGTTAGGCCTCCTACTTTCCAACTTGTTTCTATAGTTTTGAATCATTTATTGACTTTGTTTGCGGGGTGGGGTTTAGTATTATTAGCTGTTCTGTTACATTGCTATAGGAAACACATAGATACCATTTTCTTGATGTGTGTATGTTTGCTTTCAGTATCAGCCATAATATTCCTCTTACAGAGATGTGACATTTCTGGGGATATCTAATTTCTGAGATACTTCTGGAAATGTACATAAAATTATGATACAAAACCAAGCAAAGACTTTTTTTGCACAAGTCATCTCTTTTTCTCTTTTGTTCATTGCCACCTCCATCCCTAGTATCTACTTACTCCCAAATTACCTCTGCCGTCTGCCGTGAAAACACACTTATGAAGTTTTAGCTTCAAGTGTTATTTTCTTTTAAAGGATTTTGGGGTGGGGAAAATAGAAGTGCAGTGTCTTAGAATTTTAAAAGCTTTATACTTGCAGCTAGCATTTTTAATACAATGCTGCAAATTCTCAACCTGCATAAGCTATAATTTGCTTTATCCCCAAGGCAGTAAGGAAATTCTTATGTACAGCACATTTGTCTAGTTCAATAGCAGGCTTTCCTTTTTGTGTAAGTGTAATTTTTTTCTGTGTCCTAATAAAGCTTTATTGAAGTGTGGAATACATATCATTAGCGTGTATGTGTTACTTGAGATTTGAAGCTGCCTTTTTTATTTTTTCTGCTCCGAAAAGTTGCTTTAAAGGTCATTGTGGCTAGCTACTCTACCTAGTAGGTTTTCGCGCTGCTATTTTGCAATTTTGAACAAGAGCTGTGTGTTGTGATGCTTTTTGTAAACTTTTCCAGGCAACATTAGTTATCAGAAATGTCGTCTATTACAAGAAGACTGTTTTAGCAAAGAAGTGGGGTTGCATCGTTGTGATTTCTTTAGCTTCACTGTTCCTCTGCTGTGTTTTTGTAACTGATGATTTCTCAAGAATCTGCAAATCAAAAGACAACCTTTTTTCCCCAGTCAAGTAAATGCTGCCTTTGCTAGGAAAACTCGAGTTGCCTGGGAGCTTTTAGATGACCAAAAACATGCAAAAGAGCAAAATATAATTACTTTTCTTGGACAATATGTTGACCTAAACTTAACAATAATTAACTGAACCGCGTGTCTCCCTGTAGGCTGCACATGAGAAGGTACTTCCTTCTGCTGCTTATTCATAAATCATGCCAATTAGCAAAACCTTTCATTTTGCCCATTGCTTTACTGAATTCCTCTTGTTTCTCCGTGCATTCCCATTTGGATCCCATGTTGCGCCTCAGACTTGTTACGTGTTGTTTTTCCAGCAGCACAATGCAGACACACTGTGGAATGGAAATCAAAGCGAGAGCTGCTTTTGCTTTGTTCAAAGGCATGTGTCTGCAAGCCTGTGCTGGGTTTCCTCTCCTGCTTGAATCTGGTGAGGTGGTGAGACATGTAAACAGCAGGCATTCTCCCCATCGGTGCATGGACCAGAGTTTTGGTTGAAGGCAGTAATTCATGTTTTTGTTGCCTTTCACTGGAGGCCTTAAAGCTTGAGCAAATGTGGAAGATTCTTCCACTTTTATAGGTGGTAAAATAGTTTGGCGCAGTGTGCTGTGCTGGGGTAAGTGGGGAGGAAAACCTGGGTCCTTTACTATTAGTCATCTGACTGTTAGATAATCTGTTCTTATTTGAGCAGTCACGACTGTTTTATCTAATTAGATATATACTTAAAGATAGAAAAATTCTTCCAGAACACTGGATGTTACCTATTCAAACCTGTTGTTTATTTTAAAAACTGGATGCCTCCCAACTCTCTTCCCTCTCTTTCTTTCTTCCTCCTCCCCGACACCCTACTGTCATTGCATTACTGCCTCTGTTTAATTTTTCATAGCCCATATATAACACCACCACTTAGGACAGGAATGGGAAACTACTGCATTATATCCTCTGCTTTAAGGCAGTTTAGTCAGGTAAAATACGAGTCACCCAAGCAGCAGCTTTCTTAGTAGCTAAAGGTGTTTGTAATTTGATGTTCACAGTGCTGTTACAGAATGATTGTTAGAAAGAGTTTATATGCAAGTTTCCATATAATTTAAAGCCTTGTGCTGCATGAAGAAAGGTAGGGGAGAGGGTGGGATCTGGCAGTGAGGTTTTTTCCATGCTCCCCTCCCTATTATGGACCAAAATCACTCTTCCTAAGGAGCTGCTGACCTGGGAAAGTATCAGCAGGCTTCCCAAGTGAGCATTTATTTTGCTTCTCGTTACCCTTCTTTCTGCCTACGGACTCTGCTGCAATGAGAACACAAGGACTGAATAATTTAGGCCTGATGTGTGATACCACAAAATAAAATGGTTTAGCACAGTACAGGTTTTGCATAAACTAATTTAGGCGTAGTGTCTAGGGTAAATAAAACATACAAAAGGTCTGGGCTGAGAGGTAAGAACGATTGGAAGACACAAAAACCACAGCACAACTTTCCTCATCTCTATGTATTTTTCCACTCTGTCCCATGGAGAATCTACATTCTCAGAGTTGTAAATGATATGGTACAAGGCATCTCAGTTTCTGCTTAGAGGGCTTTTTTCTTTTGCTGTGTCCATTTTTATGAATTTGATTTCAGATGAGGTATCATAGAATCATAGAATTTCTCAAGTTGGAAGGGACCCATAAAGATCATCGAGTCCAACTCCCTGCTCCTCGCAGGACTACCTAAAACTAAACCATATGACTAAGAGTGTCGTCCTGATGCTCCTTGAACTCTGAGAGGCTTGGTGCCATGACCACTTCCCTGGGGAGCCTGTTGCAGTGACTGACCACCCTCTCAGTGAAGAACCTTTTCCTAATGTCCAGTCAACTTCCCCCCTGATGCAGCTTCATACCATTTCCATGTATCTTCTAGAGCAACCGAATGCTTTGGCACCATTTGGTATGAAAAGATGTCTTCTTTATATAACACAATGACAAATGTGAAAACGAAGCCCTGATTAGTTCAATTTAAAATATTGGTTTTGCACCGTTGTAGTGAAACGTATTGTAGCAGTAGGAGATGATTAAATGCCAGAAGAGAGCATAGTTAAATTAAGTAAGTTATTTTTCAGTTATTTTAAAATTGACCTTTATTTTTTCCTGCAAATAATTTGTTTAAACATGGATAACCTCTATTAATAAAGCTGTACTGATACTTCTTGACACCGCAGATATGGGATTGTGATATGTGCATAGATGCACATAAAATGTGGTCAAAATTTAGTTTTGTTTACAGAGGGTTTTTAACAAGTACAGCGTGCAAATTCGAAAAGATTTCCTGAGACTGCATTCTGAGCATTTCTCTTCTTAATTCATATAAAAGCTTCCAGTATTCAGTTATCTGGATATCATTCATTATCTGAGTATCTGAGACTCATTAGGTCCAGATTGCAGAAGGCATGTTAGTTATGCATGCTCCATCTGTTTAGTTGATTTAAAAATAAAAAGTTATCTACCCCATGATATAAGTTACAGATCTGTAACAATACAATTAACGTTCCTATCTAATACAGAAGAGTTTATGCCACTTGGTTAATACGTTATCCAGGCTGACTGACTTATGAAGTTGATTTAGAAATTGGTGACTTTAATAAGTGATTTTCTAGCATATGCTCCGTGTAGGATATTGCCACGAACGGAATAGAAAGGAATCCCTGTAAAGAGGAGCTGAAATAAAGTGCAAGAATAACATGCTGTAAGTCACCAGCAAAGGAAAAACAGACTTTTGAGAACTGTGATGAGCAAAGAGGAGAATGGGAAGCTGTGATGTTTTCTCTTTGATGTGGAATATCTATCTGCAGGTTTTCTGATGAGATCCAAGCTAGCCAAGTACAGTGGTAAGGCAATGTCATGCTCCTCTGAGCCCTGTTTAAGAAAGGAGCATCACGGGCATGTGGCAGAACTGGAGCCCTGATTTTTTTGTCCTGCTGTCTGAACTTCTAATGTTATGTGACATATTGTATACTAAATTCTGCCAAAAAAGCCAAGAATGTTCATTGAAGATAATGGCATGTGACCCCTGAGCTGCAGGCTCAGCAGCAGTTTCCTTTATTTAACTGCATTACATTGTCAGTTTGAAGTCAGGCTGTAAATCTTCACAGTTGTCTTGTGTGTTAATACAAACAAATGGATATACATCAAATTTTTCTATAATCAAGTTTAAAGAACAACTTTGTACTTTCTTCTATTAGTAGTGAAAATTATAGGGAGGTATATGTAGTAAAGCTCTCAAAGCAATAGATGTTTTCTGCACAAAGCAGATGGTTATATGCACTACTAAGGGCAACTATCTCTATATAATGCCGCTTTCTTATATCTTGCAGTGCATTGCTGAGATGTTTGTCCATAGGGGCAGTGCCTTCCCTTGAGCAAATCAGTGTTGCAGTGATTAAGGATATTATAGTGAGGGCCATGGTTTTAGATATTTCACCTCATGACAGCATTGACCCTATTCTTGCTTTCTGGAAAGCTTTTCTAACTCTGGTAACTTGAGTTTTGCAAAACTGTAGCCATTCCAAATTTATTTAGATTTATTTATTTAAGTTATGCATTCTTTTGCTTCCTATCCAAAACTCCTTTTACAAGGTAACTAAGTGCTTAATCAGAGGTGAGGACAGGTGGGCAGTAAATAAAATGTGTCTAACATGATTTACAAAATATTTTGGAATAACGGACACCATGGAAGTATCAGAGTGAAATGTTACTAAAGGTGTATTTTTTAAACTTTAGGCTGGGCGATGCAGGTTGCTGCCTTTGTTTTCATTCAGAGAAAGTGGGAAGATGACAAGAGTCACTTTGAAAAAATGCTGGATTATTTCTGTGACATTCGTGAACCACTACAACTCCTCATCTTTCCGGAAGGAACTGATCTCACAGGTAGGCTGCATTTGTCATCTTCTCGTGGAATGTTCAACGTGGAAATTCTTTGTTGTTTATGGAAATGGTTAAAAAAAGTTCCAGGCAGGAACAAGACTCGGTTCTCATGGGCAGTAGAAATTATAGTTAATGATGACGTGTGCCGATTCATTTGAGAGGCACAAACGTAGTTCCACTGAGAGGCTTTGCCAGTCTTCCTGAAATAACTCTTTTTGAGTTATATTTGACATCATATCAGATGTCAAAGCATCTGATGATTGAAATGGCTTTATGTTGGTCAGTACTGTATGTACATTGCATTAGCAAAAGTAGGTTTCAAGACCTGGAATAAATCACTTGCATGTTCCCATTTTCCATATTACTGGGGCAAACAGTGCAAAATCATTTCAGACCTATGGAAGAGTGATTGAAGAGGAGAACTGGTGATACTTGTTCTTCGGGTCATGTAAGCAGTCTGTATCTGCCTCTATAAGAAAAATAACTCCCTAAAACAAATGTTGATGTTATCATAAGAGTAAATTTAATGAGTTTGATCCTGTAGTATTAATTCTTAATAAAATATCTACCTTAATACGGGTATCTTACAGCATCAGTAGCAAGCTGCTAGCCAGTGTTGAAGACGACTCAATTGCCAATAAAAGAAAACATTGTGTCAGTGTTCTCTGGTGGTTCATGCCTGCAGCATGATTTGATAAGCAGCATCTTTAAATAGAAAATCAATTACAATTAAACTTCTACCTTTTAGCTTATTTAAAAGATTTTTACTACACTTTCCATTGCAGATATTCTCAAATCATATTTTATTGCAATGCCAGATCAGTAAGGACAGTATAAAAATAACTAACTTATACTGCTATTTTTTTTCTTCTGTATTCCAGATATCCTTAAAAATGGATATGTATAGTATTCAGATGTTATCACACAGTAGGGAATTGTCATCACTTGATCAGCTTTCCTAAAAGAGGATAAATTCATTGTGCATTCTTGGACTGCTTCACGTGATATCTCTTGTTGAATAAGTTATTTTGTATCTAAAATTAGAAAGAAGGATGGAAATTATCTCACTTTAAATTTTTTTTTTCTTTGAATTCATGAACAATTCTCCTAGCTCTGAATTATGAGATTAGATCTTAATCTTATTCATGGAGTCAGGAGACTCCTCCTTGGGTCTCTCACACTCTCTTTCTGAACAGATGTTTCCCTATCAAGATGATTGGAAGAACTGGTTTGTTTGTAATTTATTCCATAAATTATGTATACATTCTAATCCCTCCCAATATTCCTCAGAGACAACAGATTTTAAAGAACTGAGGAAGTTTCGTACTGCAGATTTAAAAAAGAAGAATTACTGAGACAGCTGCGGTGCGTCAACACTTGTGCTGCAGAGTCCCGAAGGCAGTGGTGGGGATGCTCCCACCTGAATGTGGAGTTGCTTAAGGAAACACAGAGTTTTCTTTCTGCTGTTGTAACTGATATAAATGACTTAGACTAAATTTAAGTATATGCTGTTGATACCGTCCACTGAGAAATTCATGCAGACAAGATTCTTCACTTAATATAAAAAAATTCTCTAATTGGATTTCTGAACACAGATTTTTCACAGACTTTTTTTTTTAAGGTATTTCTGTTGTTCTGGTTTTCCTTCCTCATACACATGTAACACATACCCTTTAACTTTGCAGTGTCAAATGGATATCCACACTAACTGTGCTGTTCTTCTGAAGTCGGTTTAAGCCACCGCAGATCGTGGTGATCGTTTCCCCCTGGTTTGTTGAGCAGCCCAGGGAGGAAGCAGTGTGGTGGGAAAGACGGAGTGATGGGCAGGGAAGACGATAGGGCACTGCTTCCCTGGGCAGCCGTGCTGACTTCTGATATGTTAAACTGTCCGGTGTTTGCCGCTCTAACTTGCCATCAGTAATGAATGCCACCTTGATATTATATTTGTGCATAATAAGATGTATAGAGACAGGCAAAACCCTCGGGCTTTTTCTGTGCAAATGAATAGCTCTCCCTATCTAATTGTCTTCACAGGAAACATTAGCTCATATATTTTAAAATATTATAGGAGACAGGGCAAAATCCCTTGACAAGCTAGTCCTGACCAAGCAATAAGTTTATGCTGTATGAGAATGATAGAACATAATAATGTATTTTGTGTAATGGTTTGAAAAAACGATTTTCAGAAAACCGTTATGTTATTGACACATTAGGACCTATTGCAACCTCATGTTCCATCTTTTAGAATAAGGAATAAACCACAGTTTTGTTCTGAACAGTCGTTCAATATCCTAGGGAACATTTTGCAAAAATAGAGGCAATGGTTCTTGTTTTCTGACCAAATCCCAAAACTGCTAATTACTTCTGAAAACAAAATTCTTCTGATGCTTAAAATGAAAAATAACATTCTACGTGTACTTCACTGAAAAGCAGAATTGCTGTGCAGCTCTGTGCTACTATCATTTTTTTATCCTCTTAGTGGCCGCATGACAATGATAGATTTACTCCTCTTTATAAGAAATTGTATAATGTTTTCAGGTATTCGAGAATGAAAGATTTCAAAGAAATTCAAAGTATGATTGTATTTATACATGGGCCACTGCCTGACTTCAAACTGGTGAAGTACTTTGCAGTGGAAGATGCTACGTAAATAAATTTTAGAAATAGTAACGTCATGAACCCTGAACAATGTATTTCCAGACTGGATGTATAGGGTCTGAGGTAATAATTATATACTTATTTCCGATAGGTTGGTCATCTTTTCACTCTGGAGTACTTCAAGGTTAAAGCTAAGTGCATCAAAGGTATTTTATTGTAATTGCTTCAAAAGAAGCCCTCAGCAGATAACCATATAGCCAGACTTTCTGAAGCCCTGAAGAAAACAAAGCAACCATAAGTCTAGTGCTTCTGGAAAGCTGGAATACAACCCACCGTTTTGCTTGTTCTTTTGTTTTTCTTGGTGTTCCTTACAAGGCTCTTTGTAGTAATTCTTCAGAAAGCAATAACAAAAAAAAGTTGCTGTATTGCTCTGCGCCTGTTGTAGCCTCATTTCCTATGGATTTGTGTCTGCATCCCTATACATGGTCTCTTCTTCACTCCAGCTTGTTCTTTTTCCTTGTGTTTCCTTCCGTGTGACATTTCCTCACCAAATCTCTTGCTGCTGTCTCGGCAAGAGGCATCGTGTGCTGTGGCTCATCCTCACCAATACTTGCGTTAAGCGACGGACTGCTGCATGCTGTGCTGAAAGCCCTGACAGACCAAATACCTGTGGACCCTGCCCTGGCTTTTCGCGTTAAGATCTCTACTCTTGGAGGCTCCCCTTTTCTCAGCCATTGGTTTTTTCTAAAACTCCTGTGGGGCCTAATTATCTTTGAAGCTCTTGTCTCTGTCAAACTTTGTTTGCAGGCGGCAATAGCTTCAAAAGTTAAGGGGAACAGGTGGACAGAGTGTGATTGCACAGACCTTTTTTCCTTGAGGAACAGCTAAAAAACAAGTAGGAAAGCTTGCTAGAACCCAGATTTTGGCAGGAATGTTGTGATGTGGATCACATACAATATTTCGTCTAGAAGGTAACTGAACTGCAGTTGGATTTTTCTCTTTTCTAGTAAATGTGGTGTACTTTGGTAATGCAAAAAAAATACTGTTCAAAAGCACTGGCAGAGGTTGATTTAACATGTAATAATTTGAAAGTAGCACAAATAAGAACAATTGCTTAACTTTTTCTTAAAATATTAACTGTGAGCCAATATAGCTTTTATGCTTTCCATGCAAACCTCTAATAGATAAATGACGATTTTTTAAGTTTCTTTTTTTTAAGAGAAATTTTTGGAGTACTCGCTTATTCTTTCACTGTCTGGCACCAATATCGTTTGAGAGTACTTGAAGTCATAGAAGTACATGCATGCTTTTATCACAAGTCAGATTAAAGGAAAAGGTAGTACTTAATATTCAAATTTCAGTGCACTAGTACTAGCAAAAAAAAAAAAGTATTTGAGAGTTGATCAGAAATAGTTGTATTAAAGTTGTCAGAATCAGCTTTCCAGTAGGATGATGGGGGAAGTTTATAATTCTTTTGGGTGACGTCCAGCAAACAGATCAGCTGGACAATGTTGAACCTGTACAAGCTTGTGAGCTTGTTCGTTTGAGAGGAGCTAATACTGCATACGTATTTCATGGGGAGCACAGACTTAGCTTTTCGTTGGGTACAGGTCTTGGAATTTTATTTCCAAATACTCTTCAGACTCACATGAATGCAGCTTGTTACTCCATTATGGCTTTCGTCAAAGTCAAATTCTAGAGGTGTTTTTTTTTTTTTAATTCAAAACTAGGTCACAAATGAAAAATATAATTTATAAGTTGGTGCGAGACCAGAGGAGACAGAACATGAAGCAGTTCTGGATCAGGAAAGGTCCCACATCACCCTCTACTAATAAACTGGCTGTTTTCTATAAAAATAGATAATTCTACTTACTTTTTTTTTTTATCATAGGAGCAAATAGAACCAAGGAGTTAAAATGCAAAATACACCTAATAGGAATGGTGAGCAAAAACTCTGGGGGTAGATTAACTTTGGCTTAAATACAGTGTAAGAAAGAAAATACTTGTTTCTAGAAAGCAACACTTAGCCATGTTTTTCAGAGAGAGTAAGCAAGAGGGGGTACTACCCTTAGCCAAATGATGCGAGCGACCTTTTGGGATTGAGGAGACCCAAACTGAGTTCATTTCTAGTCCCTGCTTCAAGAGCTGCTTTATGCAATTTGTGTTAGTTGGTTGGAAGCAAAGAGGAGGACATATGTTCCCTCTTTTTAAGGAAGTGTTTTCACTATCAGGCTTACAAAGGCATCTTTCACCTAAGAATGTTACAGTCTGGACTGCAGAATGATGAGGCATCTGTGTAAGTTTTGCAGCACTGGCAGTGTAGCCTGGTCTATTGATTAAGGGATTTTAAAGAGGTGTTTGTTGTGAGAATTCCCTTAGGTTGGAGAGAAATAGGGTTGGAAAGAAAATGGGTTTCTGATTTCCTGGATCAGTTTTCTAACCTCTAGGTTTCATATAATGGGGAGCATTGCATTTTCTGCCTTTCGTTGAATCCAGTGCTGAGCAGGAGACTTACTCTGAATTTCTCCCAGAAGGTTTAGGCACAGGTATCTTGCACAGCGATCCCGAACAGCAGTAGGCACCAAGGTGCTTACATTGGGTAGGATGGCAGTCAGTGCATTTGTTCATAAGTAATAGCAGAGTAAGAAACTGAGAGTAGCAGGAAGGGGAGGAAGGGCATTATTCTTACTTTTCGGTAAAGTGAAAGCATATCCTACCCTTGCTTTCAGGATAGCATCAAAAACCCTTTGACCTGACTTGCTATAATAAATATTGTTTAATGCACAAAGACCTGTGGCTTGATAGTTGCTAGGAAGGGAAGAGGGAGATGATTTTTCCAGATGACAATGACCGTTGTATTAGCTGGGAGCATTATTCTAGTTCTAAAATCCCATTACACTAGGGTCATGCAAAAGGGGAAGGGAACAATCTCTGTTATATAAAACGTACAGTCCAGAGGCAAGACAGGGATACAAATATCAGGAAATAGCTGAATAGTGTTGGCCAGTGTGCCAATGTCCAGCTGTTCACATGTTCTTAGAAAGGCATTGTAGTAAAGGGAAGTTTGGAAGATGTTTTACAGATGTGTACAGTGAGTTCTTTCCAAGTGCAGGGGGGTGCACTAAGAGGAGGTTTGAAGATGGTTACTTCAAGGCAATGGGCAGTGGAGGTCCCAAACCTTTTTTGCAGCATCAGTTAGGTCTTGCTTAGAAAACAAAACTGCCCACTTACTTTTTGGTTTTCTTGTGGTGCAAGTAGGAGTGTTTTGCAAATACCAAGGAATTCGTTTTCATGCTCCCTCTGAAACAAAGTGCTAGTGAGCAGACATACGGAGAGGGTTTTTCTGAGTGCTCATTAACTGTGTGCAGTTTGAGATGCTTAAGACTTAGATTTATTATTTTTTTAGACTGCTTAGCTTTGTGTAGACACTTATGGCACTCGTGTCTCAAAGCTTTGATTGACTTGATTTGCAGATTGCAAATGTTCCAACGTGAACCCCAAATTTGGATATGCAGAAGATGAAGACGACAATTCCTCTTGTCCTTTGGAAGAAACAATACATTAGCTCAAAACTTTGTGATAAATTAATTTAAAGCATTTTACTTGAATCGCCACAGAATCTGGAAAGGAACGCTTGACTTTTTACTTATAGGAACTCTATACTTTTTATAGGAACACTTGGTGATCAATATCATTTATTAGAAAATAGTTTAAGTTGTTGAGCTAATAGTGCAATACAATTATGTCTAAGAGGTAGAATTCAGCTTTTCAGAGGAGCATTTAATAATTACCAAATTACTCTTGCCTTTTCTGCCATTCCAAGTCTTGCTCATGACTCACTTTGCAAGTGTTGCTGTCAGAGAGGTAGGGGTCCTAAAGGCAAGTTCTCTTTACTGATTCAAAATAGTCCTTTTTAAACATTGAATGGAGTAGTAGTCGAGCAGACAAAAATAGATATTCTGATCATGTGGTTAAAGACATAATGCATATGTCCAAGGAAAGATAAATTTAAGTTACATAGCCAAGTGTAATTTTAGTATTTCACACATTCTGTAATTTTAGCAACGCTTTTTGAAGATGTCATATTTTCAAGTATTTGTACATTTTGGCAATTTGGCAAGAATTAATCTTTGGATTCTCTTTGCTGAATCACTTGCTTGGCTACTGTGCAACAGTTTTCCTTTCCTCCAAATCACATGGTCAGGAAATCTGTGCACTAAATCTTAAGAGTTACGTGTATGAAAAGCAGTACTCTTACGCGTGGAAACAATAGGTCACAGGGAAAAAATACTCAGTATACTGATATGCTATAGCATTTATTAATAGGTAGATGGTCCTTTAGGAGGGACACCCACATTTTTTAATAAACAAAGAGCTCATGTAATTTAGGAGAAAGAAAGATACAGGAAAGTTGCATTACTGCAAAAAGGACATCTCACACTACTGTTGATTTGTCCACTTGTGCTATTGTTCCTTTACAGGAAAAAATTATGATGATTGTAAGGGAAAGGACTTACCTATAAGTATAAATTCTGTTAAATTATTAAGCAGCAGTATGTTTTTCATTACTTTATCTCCCATCTCTGTGAAGGTTAACTGTGGACACTTAAAAAAAGAGCTGTTTCTGCTTGAGAAAGATGATACGTTGCTTAGGCAATGATTTTGTTCCATAGATCTGTTGCTGGGATTTTGTCTTTTAAAACACCTGTAAAACTATATAAATATGGGTTATTTATTAAGTTAGTTGATCAAATTGATTTTTTTCCACGTTGCCAAGGGAACATTGCATTTGTCCATTGCCTTTTGGCCCCAGGAGAAGCACAGCAGTACCCACAATGAAGGAGTAAGCGTAGCCAGCAAAGTCCGTTTGGCTGCTAACTGAGGCTGCGTGGAAGAGCCTCCTGCACATCACTGGAGAACAAATTGCTTCCTCTCCACCCGTCTTCAGAAGTTTTCACTTTAGCGTCCGCGTCTTCCTTGCTTAGTGGGCTCTGTTAGCAACTGGCTCTGAAGAGCCTTTGTTCGCTTTTCTTGTGAGAGACTTCTTTTTGCCAGAGGTTCGAAACGTATTTGTCACGGGGTTTAGCCACGCTGCTTTCCAGATGCCTTGCGTGTACTCTGCGTACGGTGGCAAGCATGTGTTGCGACACTGAGGCAGTTGGTCAAAAAATTAAAACAGGGTATGTATGTGCAGCGCAGGTTGATGAATAAAACGTGTCAAGTTTAGAATGATGATGTAAAATACCATTTTAATGTATTAGATTAACTGTTTTCCTCCATGTAATGTTTTCTTTCTGAAATAAGTTTAACATGGTTAAACATTGACCTCAAGGTATTTCTGTACATAGTATCAAACCTACATTACTATATACACTGTGCCTTATGAGTTAAAAAAAAAGAAAGAGCCAGTTACCCATTTTACAGTAAAATGTGTTATTGAAGTATACAGAGAACTATTAGCAGACTTTAATTTATAGATTTCAGATTGCATTTGATAAATATGAAAGATTTGCTGATTATTTTCTCAAATGAAATGAGAGGGTAAAAAGGCTTTTCTTGCAATCCACGTTGCTTTTCCTCATACCATACTATGGCCAACTGAAAGCCCACTTGCAGTCTGCCTCCGCCTGAAAAGCCGTTGTGCATTCGTACTGTGTGAACTGCTGTTGTACTGTTCCTGTTGTATAGTAATTATATTTAATTCTTGGTCTACATGTACACTAATAGAAAATGGTGCTTTTTATTCTCTCCTTCAGCCAATACCAAAGCCCGCAGTAATGAATTCGCTGAAAAGAACGGACTTCAAAAATATGAGTACGTCTTACATCCTCGAACTACTGGATTCACTTTTGTGGTTGACCGTCTAAGGGAAGGTAATCCTGCTCTGTATTTTATGTTCTTTTTTTCTTTTGAGATAATGAATCTCACCCAAGCTGTAGAAGCTGATGTTCATAAAACTGCTTGAAGTAATTTCAGAAAAACTTCATGTATCCTGATCACAAAAAAAGCCCTTGTTTGCAACCCTACTTAAAATGATTGTAACATGGAGAGATTTGAGAGAGTTGATAACAGATACTAATATCATCAGGAGACATGCAGTGGATGAAAACAACATTTTCACTTTTTTTTTTTAATATTGTAGCTTGTTTAGCAGTCTACCTCAAAAAAACAGTGGAAAAGATCACAAGGAAGTTCAGCCTTATTGTCTGTACCAGTCCTTAACCCCAACTGGGTGGTTGACACCGAACACACAAACACGTATAACACTGCCCTCTCTGAAAAGCTTCTGGTTTTAAGTCTGAGAGCTGAGACAAGAAGTTGCTATGTCCAGTGGACAAGGGGAATGCACAGCAGCATGTAGGTGCAGCAAGTCAGCTGCCCAGAGCTGCCAGCTTTTTCAGGTGATGGTGACTTGGAGAAGCTGCGTAAAATAGGAGTTGTGCTGCTTGGCAGAGTGGTGGGTAAGAGAACGCGTGATACTTGCTTTTTACCTAGAAATGGTCTTTCATCCCTGTATTAATCTGGGGGTAGAGATCGAGTCCCTGTTATCAGGGGAACAGAGTATAAAGATGTGATTGCTTGTTAGATCGAGATGTCTGTGGGTTGTTTTAGGAATGGGCATTTCTGTGAGATTTGAGGCCATAACGGTGTAACCATTAAATGATACTGTCGTGGCGGTGATTGATATACAGATGAGTGAATGTTCGCAGGATATATGAATGTATGGTTGAAGAAAATAAACATGTACAGTAGATATGAAGTGACTTAGTTATAGGCTAGTTCTTCAGGGAAAGGCGATTCTAGATCTTTAACACATGCTGGTTATTCTGACTGCCAAAGGAAGACGTTTGAGATTATTAAAAAGAGTAAGGGCCTGCTGGTAGTTGTTTTTTTTTCCTCTTGATGGAATTCTTGGTTGGTTTTTAGGAGCAGAGCTGGCTTGCATTTTGCCTGATTCCTACTAAGCAGATATCCTAAAATCACTGTAAACACTTTGATATTTTGTCCAGCTGGACAATCCTAGCTGGACCGTGTATCTATTTGACCCTATTTTCATTGGAAATTCAGTGGTGGACATCTTAGATTTTAATCTATCTTGAATGTTTATTACTCAATTTGCTGTAGTAAAAAAAAAAATTGCCACATACGCAGTTTCAAAAGCTTGTTTTACTTAAAACTTTTCAGCACTAGGTTAATGTAGTGCATAATAATATTTCTAGCCTGGAATAAATTTTCAGTTAAAGGAATGTTTTCCACTCGAAATATTATCAACTTAAAAAAAAAAAAAAAATCTGTATTTTCTGCAGAAACAAGCTTTGTGGTTATACAGTCATTTTATAATTTTATAAAAATGCATTTCTCTTCTATTGCTGTATGAGAGATCTATGCAAATTAAACTATTGGATTATAAAAAGGAAAATATTTGAGGCTGATTAACTGATTTTATGCAGTACAAAGCTGGGGAAAAAACCAAACATTCCTAGATTTTTTTTTTTTGTCCAGTCTTTCAAATGCTTTTAAGTCCTATTTTTATGTAAGACAGGGAAATATTGTGTGAAATATTAATTTCCCTTTAGCATTGAATTTACTAGGTATTGGGTACCTTGATAGGCATTATAAGCTATATATATTATGGCTGTATGCTATTATGTAGTAAATTATGTGTAAGAAGGTAGTTCAACCAGCATTTTAAAATACTTAGTTGTTACTTACTAATTTAAGAGTTGGTTTTCAATTGTTTGCAAGTGTGCCAAATACAGACGATTTGTGCTGAAATGTTTTATTTTTATGAACAATTGAACTGTAGTTGCTTGACTTTAAAACACTTCAGTATATTATATACCTTCAGCTATATCTATTTTTTCATCTGTACAAATGTATTGGGTTTGCGTGGCAACATTTTGATAGCAGGGGGGCTACAGGGGTGGCTTCTGTGAGAAGCTGCTGGAATCTTCCCCTGTGTCCGATAGAGCCAATGCCAGCCGGCTCCAAGACGGACCCGTCGCTGGCCAAGGCTGAGCCCATCAGCGACGGTGGTAGCGCCTCTGGGATAACATATTTAAGAAGGGGGGAAAAAAAAACCTGCGCAACAGCAGCCAGAAGCGAGGAGTGAGAATATGTGAGAGAAACAACTCTGCAGACACCAAGGTCAGGGAAGAAGGAGGGGGAGGAGGTGCTCCAGGCGCCGGAGCAGAGATTCCCCTGCAGCCCGTG